AAAATGGGGTGTACCAAGAAGGCTGACATTTTAAAGTACACTGAGGAAATAAAAATTCCTGAAAATTGCAAAAATTTGATTCCCCCAATGATAAATTCTGAGATTTGGAATAATTTATTACTTAATCGTTCAGCAAAGAGATAAAACTCTACAAGAAGTTCAGAAAGTCATGGGACTATCGATTGTCCCAATGATTGCTTTAGCAGAAATGTTTAAAACAAATAAACTTGAAATGAAAAAAGCAAAGAAATCTGTGTCAGATGCCATACTGTTGGCGTGCAATGCAATGTACGAGATGAATATTGAAAGAAGATATATTTTAAAGCCCTACGTTCAAAAAGGTTTCCAGCAATTATGCTCTGTCTCAACTCCTATTGAGGAAAAAACATTATTTCCGAGTGAAATAACAAAAAGGATGAAGGAAATAAATGATGGGTCAAAAATTAATAAACAAATAACAGGTCAATCCATGTTTCAGTCAAGATCAAGTTCAAAAAAACTTCAGGGGGACCTGCATACAGAGGAGGCAGGGGAAGTTATACAAACAGTTCTCAAACATTCCGAGGAAGATCAAATCGGTCAAGCGGCTACAGAGGGGCCAGAAATCCAAGATACCGAACACAGTTTTGAATGTAAGTAAAAAATTATCGACATTTATTACTGGGGGTCTATCGGATCATTTAGATGAATGGCAAAAAATAACATCTGATAGGTGGATTTTAAATACTATCCTAGGCGGATATAAAATAGAATTTGAAGAAAAGCCTTTTCAGAACAAAATACCAAAACCAATAAAATTTAATGAAATTCAAACTGAAATAGTTGATAAGGAAGTTTCTGAGCTTTTGTCAAAAGGGTCAATTTCGGAGTCAAATACTAAGGAAGGTGAATTTATTTCAAACATACTTGTTTTGGAAAAGAAAAATGGAAAATTTAGACTAGTGATTAATTTAAAAAAGTTATATGAATTTGTTCAGTATCATCATTTTAAAATGGAAACTTTAGATAGGGTTTGGCTTCAGTGAAAAAGAGTTCTTATTTTGTTAGTGTAGATTTTAAAGATGCATATTTGTCAGTCCCTATTTTCAAAGGTGATTGAAAATACTTGAAGTTTTTATGGAAGGGAGTGCTGTATCAATGCAATGCACTATTTTTTGGTCTGGCTTCAGCTCCGAGAGTTTTTACTAAGCTTATGAAACCAATTTTCGCTTTTATTCGACAACAGGGCATTTCATCATTCTTTTACATAGACGATAGTGACATTGCATAAAATCTTTGAAAATCTTCTCTGCTCCTCGGTATTAAATAAACTAACCAAGTACAAAGTTATGATGAGCAAGAATGTCTCTTCCAAAATTGTGAATGTCATGGCCCCTGGGTCAGGGGTTCTGGTTTTAGGGCGGGGCAATATTGATTATATTGTTAAAATACGTTAATTCTTCAAAAATCTTCTTCTCTGCTCCTGGACATTGAATAAACTAACCAAGTACATAATTATGTTGAACAAGGCTGCCTCTTCCCAATTTGTGAATTTCAGGGCCCTTGGGTCAGGGGTTCTGTGTTTTCTGAGCGTTGTCTTTAAATATAATAGTGTTCGGTTAGAATTACCGGTACTTTTTGTATGGTGTGCCATAAGTGCAATTGTAGTCAATGTTGACTTGTGGTTTACTTTTTAGTATACGTAACTTGCAACTTAAAATATCATTTGATTTAAGGACGTTCGATCCTGAGATTTTGAGCGTAATTTGGTCAGGTCCTTTATTTATAAAATTCTGCATCATTTTTAAGTTCTAACATTAAATCTGAATTCTACAGTGCAAATTTAACTATATTCAATGTAAAAACAGCGATTAAATTTCATTCAAGTAGAATTAAGGTAGGGACTACATTTTGTGGCGGAAGGTTTTTTTAGACGAAAATGATCAGTTTTTCCATTTTGAACTTTAACAGTACTGTTAATTTTGGATTCCTATTTTTCCACCCTGGTTGCACAAAACTCTGTTTTTTGCAGTTAAATGTATTATGCTGCTTCTGAAATATCTATTAAGGTAATTCCACCCTCCTGTGATGTCATAGGTTTTTGCAAAAACTGTAATTAGTTTAAATGCATACCTTATAGAAAAATATCTCTTGGAAGAATGCTTTACAATAGGTGTAATGATAAATATTGTATAGATAAAAAATTCAAAAAATGCATATTTTCTATATTTAATCAATTATTCAATCTTTAAAAAATGTTTACAAGGGCAATAACTCCTTCTAAGGTCTCTTCATTCAGGCATTGGCTTTTCTGTAAAATAGTTTACCTGATATTCACAATTTAAAAGTATCTTTTAGGTAGGAAGTATTTAGGAACACTCAGCATCAGAATTATGCATTTTAACCAGTTTTTACATATTTTTCTCAATACTGTTTACAAAAAATGTACAATTTTTTATGTTGACATACACTTCTGTTTATTTATGTTTCACATCTTAAATAATATGGTGACCTATACATTTTTTGCAATAAATGGAAAGTTTAAAGTATATTGAATGAAAATAAATACAGTTTTTGTACTTTGAACCTATAAAATTGTGAGGGTGGAAATTCCTTAAATTATTTCTGATGAATTCTATAAACAAAGTGTGACAAATATAGTAAATATATTCTGAAAATCTGGGAAAAAAATGAGCCAATTTTGACGTAAAATTGACACTTTTTTCAATTGGCAATATCTGAAATTTTACATCATATACCCCTGCTTTTGATGTTTTTTCTAAATATTCAAGATAAATTTGGCCTATTTGCTTAAAATCAGAAAAAGTTTAAGACTTTAAAATAATTTCTTCCTTATCAACTTAAAAAAAAAGTTACCTGTCAAAAACCTTGCACCTGGCACACGTACCAAAATTTAAAAAAAAAAAAAAAAAGTTAGCTGGAAGGAAATTTCAACAAAAATCAAAAGAATAACTTTATATATTTGGAGCTACAATTGACTTTTAGAAGTACAATTTCATTGGTCTAGTACAATTTCATTTGTCAAATATGATACATGTACTTTGAGTACTCATGGTGCTCGATGTTAATGTAAGATGGAAGAATAAATTCATGAGATTAATTCATTAGATTTTCCATAGGAGAAAGTAAGTATCTATGTTATAGACTTCCCTACTCCAATGACTCAGAAATTACACATCGTGAGAATCGAAACGGGGCCCCTTCACAAAGCGAGCGCCCTACCACAAGGCCGAGTAAGAACGAGTTGAAATGTGGGAATATACAAAACATATAAAAAGGACGTTTGAAATTTTATCAATAATTATAGTCACAATATTTTGTGGTAAACTTCAAAAATCTGTAATAGTTCACAAATATATAGAACGGACTGTGAAAAGTTTAACTTACGGACTATATTGGGTTTTCGGACTAGTGGACCTTCGGACTAGTGAACCTTCGGACTAGTGGATTGTGACCACTTTAATAGACTTGTACAGAGCATTTCAGACCTATGAGCAGAGACTATTACAAAACCAGAAGTCTCTAACGAGACTGAAGCTCTACTGGTTTGTACTTATAGCAATGGAAGAGAAAAGTACTGAAGCAGTTGGGAATTGAAGCTGTACAACAGCAATAAATAGAATAATGATCCTTGATTGAGTCTCTTTACGTTCTTGGTGTAGTCTACTTGTATGCCACATTATATCATAATCAGACTAAAACTGTAATTCGAGTAGCATTTTGAGAGTATTTAACACAAATTTCTATTTTTAGTAACCAAGGCAACACTGTTCATCGAAATCGAAATCCGATACACAGAATTATGTATCTTAGTGTAGTCTAATTGTGTGCCAAGTTAAATTGAAATCATACAAAACCGAAGGAGGAGTAGCATTTTAAAAGAATTTCACAGAAATTTGTATTTTTAGTAACCACGGCAACACCGTTCATCAAAATCAAAAAATGATAAACAAAATTATGTATCTTAGCGTAGTCTACTTGTATGCCAAGTTATATTGAAATCAGATCAAAACTGTAGGAGGAGTAGCATTTTAAAAAATTGTTTACAGACAGACAGACGGACGGACAGCGGACGCATTACTATCGCATATTGCCATAAGATCTTCTGGTCTCTGACCAGTAGAGCTAAGAAGCATTCTCAGATAGTGTAGCAATGTCAGGCATGCGCGAGTTATGGCACTTTCCCATTCTGCTCCATGCTAAATAGGTCATGTTTATCAGTGAATTAACAGCTTATATTTTTGTGCATGCTTCAATTCCTTGATTCAGATTAAAACTTTAAAGTCCATTTTGGATAATACATACATCGATTCCTAACAAAAGTGCGTAAAAAAACTGCATAACACGGGAATCTCGCATGGCTATAGATAACAACAGGCGTAATGGCGCCCATTATGTGAGAAAACCCTGGTGATATAAATAGGCAGTTACATGCTTAAGCACGTGATATTAGGCGGTCATTTGAACGCTTAACGAAAGCTGAGAGATAGAGGGTTCTAAAACACTTGGTTACGTAGATCAATTCCCCATAAATAGAAATTCAAAGCGAAAGTAGATCACATATCGTGTTTAACTTCGTTTCTTTCGTTATTTTGCCGTTTTGACAATTCTTTGACAGCAATAAACAGAAACAGAAATCATTTTTCTTTCATTTGGTGTATAGTTTCTTAAAATTAATCATTGCGCATAGGTGCGCAATGAGCTTAAACCAGTTACGCTTAACAAATATATCGAGCCATTTTTACAGGGGCAGATAACTCCATTCCCGCGCAATGTCGAAGAACTGAAGACGCATTATTTGTAAGGTGTGTTTTTGTTGATCAGTGTCAATTTTCAGGTGTTTTATTCTCACAATGGTAAAAGATAATAAAGTAAATAAAATACGTCATTTTAATGAATCAAATCTATGGACTATATAATAAATAAATATAGCTATGATCAGTATCACTGCATTCTGCAACTTTCGGAAAACAAAACATTGCCATTGGTAGTAATTCACATATTGTCAATTAGGTAATGGATAATTAAATTTAATCTTTATGTTTATTTTATATAAATATTTATGATTCTTTTAAGAATTTAAACAACTGTAATAACAGAATGTCAAGTGATTCAACGGATCCAGGCGACCTTGAGTTCATACCACCAACTCCAAAAAAAGTTTTTAGAAAGAAAAAGGAAAAGGTAAATAATAAATTAATAATTCTGTTAATTTAAAGTTAACCCTGCCAAGCATGTATTTTATAATTTTGTATTCTTCTAGCAAGCTTTTTTTAAAATGAAAATAATAAAATGTTTTGATAATTCATCAAATGCATTTCTTAATTTCTGAATTATACTTTTCCCACCAGACCCCCGAACCAGAACGAGAAGTGGGAGAACATAGTGATTCAGACAGTGGGCCCCCAAGTCCAAGCATTCTTAGAAGAAAAGTGTATCATACTGGTAGGTAATTTTCATTTTGATAGATATACTCAAATTAATCATTTCATTTTAACGAAGGGAACTTAAGCATGTTAAGTGTTCAATATTTTTTTATTTAGTCAAAAGATTTAATTACCAAAACGATAAAAGTACCCAGACAGTAGTGTCAGGAACAATACGGGTATATTCCCATGACATTTTCAATGAAAATTCTTTGGTCACCGTGAGGGAAGAGGAAATATCACAGAATTCAAGTAGCAAGAATACTCAAACAATCATTACGATCAAAAGAGATTATTAGTTTAGCAACATGGATACAAAATACAAGAACGCTGATATTGTAAAAATGCATAATAATGATGGAAATTCCATTACAAAAATTGCAAACTTTTTATTAGAGAAATCCAAAAACGTAGAAGGAGCCTCAAAAAAATTTAACACTTACTACCAAAGGGTAAAAAGAATTGTGGAAAACTTTTTTAAGAAATTAAACAAGGGAAAAAATAGAGTAGAAGGGGAGAAGTTCTTAAATGATTTTCTTAGTAGGGAATTCGATTTCCCGAAGTTAGAATTAAGTGTGAAAAGTTTCCCCCAAGTGAAATTGAAGGTCTCAAGCCAACGGAATCGACGTCAGCTGGAATAATTAAAGACCTGACTTCTCAGCTTAAGTGGGAAAAAACCTCTACAGTCGCACTTTCTGGAGAACTAAAAGAAAAATCTGAAATTGTTAAAAAGCTTCAACGTAGATCTGAAACGCAAATCGCTCGTGAAAAGCAACTTAAAAAAGAACTGAAACGTGTAAAACAAAGAGAAATCTATCACAGAAGTAAAGTCTTAAAATTGGAAAACACCGAGTCAGAGACAGTTGAGAACAGAGCAGTGTTAGAAGAAAACATTGATCAGTTAGTCAAAGAGAATGATGATCTTCGACGTCAGCTAATAACAATGGAATATGAAAGAGATGTTGCTCAAGGGAGCATAAGGGAAGCTCAAGATCCCATTGTTAACTTGTACGATGAAGATGCAAAAAAATACACCTCTGAAGTACAGTTGTGTGTTCATTCATTGTTAGAAAACCATGTCAGCACAAAAAGAGTTGGCCCAGTTATTGAAGCTTGCTTAAAACTAGTAGGTAAAACTCCAAATAGAGTGCCTAAAACTACAACTGTAAATAACATGAATATTCAAAGACTAAATTTAGCTCAAAAACAACTTGGAGAAGAATTAGCTCAGCAAAAAGACACAACCATAGAAACGGATGAAACTTCAAAATTTGGTACAAAGTTTGGTGCTTATGCTCTTTGGTACAAAGTTTGGTGCTTATGCTCTCAGAGATTCTGAAGGGACACCATACGTAGTTGGTCTACGGGAACTCACAACTAAATCTGCAAAAGACACGTTAGACACATTCAAAGAAATTTTATTTGATATAGACTCGCGCTATTATGATTCTCAAAATTTATTGACTCAAAATATTTTGTACCACATACGAAATACCATGTCTGATCGTGCAGCAACCGAGATGAAGTTTAATGAGTTGTTGGAATCATATAGAGAAGAAATTCTACCAGAGATTGTTGAGGATTGGGAGAATCTTCACGATGAAGACAGAAGGGTCTTGAGCAGATTAAACAATTTTTTCTGTGGACTGCATTCATTAGTCCACATTGCTCAGACTGCAGATAAAGCATTAACAGAAACAGAAAATAAATATTTTGACAGTAATGTTCCTACTCTGAATAAACAATTTTCCAAGAAAACAGAATCTGGAACTACAAGGCTTATTCGCACTGCCTGCAAGGCTTTTTCTTACCATGGTGATGAGAAAAGTGGATGTCATGGACCTTTTATGACTTTTGTAAAGGAATTTTTAGAGGAAAATCGATTTAGAAGTCTTCCTTTGACTCCTTTCAAGGGAAACAGATTTAATATTCTGTTTCACAATGCAGGTGTGGTGTATTTCTTTAGAGAGAAAATGGTACAATTTCTCCAAGGTTTTGGATCCAACCAGTGGGTTTTGCATGACTTGAGAGTGCCATTTTTCATTGCTGGATGTAGAGCTTTGGGCTTAATTTGCAAGTTCATAACTCCCCTCTGGAACTTGATTGAAAGAAAAGATATTCCTATCATGGAAATGAATCAGTATTATTTGACTCTTACAAATTATTTGACTGATGCAGCAAATAATATTGATGATTTTATGTCAGGGAAACTGGTTCCCTTTGGACAAGACTCTAATATTAAGCATGACAGCATTTATGCTGAACTCATCCGGTCTACCGATAACGATGCCGACACTTCCACAATTCTTTCTATTGTTCTGCCTTCGGTAGCCAAACTAACGAAGAATCATTTTAAAGACCATTTGCCAGGAGGTCTGTATGACAAACCCAGTGAAAAGATGCAACAAGAAACTAGAAGTGTAGCTAAACACAATAAATTCAGTGAGTCTGTGTTTGCTTACCTGGATGCCTTACTGAGATATAAGCCACACATAAAGACACTCTGCAGAATCATACATAATGTTCTCCATGAATAAAACAATTAAGTGGATACAGTCAAAGGATGAGGAGGAGATGAAACAGATATTAGATGAAGCATACAAAAACGTGGAGAAAACGAGAGAAAAATTCTCAGAGAGAAAGCAAGAAATTGCAAGAAGAAAGTATGCAATTCTTCAGGAAAAAATAAAGAAAGCAGAGGAAGCAAAATTGAGAGAACAAAAAAATATGCTTTTGCAAACAAATGACATCCTCTACTGGGGACTGTGGCAGACAGTTGATCAGGTAGAAAATGTATTAAAGCCAATGAACGAAAAGGATAAAGTTGAAGCACTTAAAGCTCAGCTCAGGTTTAGGAAAAATATACTTCAACAGAGAACAAGCACCAGTGAGATTTTCAATTTCACAAAATCTGAAGGTGAGGCTAAGAAGAGAAGAAATTTAACATCAAAAGAGCTGACAGAAAATGTGAAAAAACTTGTAGAAGAGTCCTTTTTAATTGTAAGTGAAGGTCAAGATAAAGGAGTTGATCTAGTGGGTAGGAATGTCCAACATAGATTTGAAGAAGGTGGTCAGAAAGTGTGGTATGATGGCTTTGTCGTGTCTCAGGTACCATTGAACTTGCATGGTCCCTAATCCCCTTTCATGTCTTGATATCCTTTTATAGTTTAGTCCAGTTGTTATTTCCCCTCATTTCCCAGATGGGTTTATTGATCTGCATATGCTAACAAAATTCGTTTTTGTTTTTTTTTCTTGTTTTACATTTTCTTTTAATTCCTCTCTGAATTCTTGTTTCTCTCAGATTAGTGTTGAGTTTATTATGTATTGTTTTTACATGGAATTTCTTTTTCAGGATTTTTTTATCAGATTAATACACCTTTATATCACATACTTTTGAAGTATTGTTTAATTATTAGATTCAAATTGATTTAATGAAAAATATTCTAACATTATTATTGCAATATTAAGATAACATTTTTATAGCAATATATTTAAACATATAATAATTTAACATCCATGATTATGTAAATAAAATCTATATAATATTGCTGATGTCTACTTCCTTTAATAGATAGTTTTCGATAGGCCTGAATTTAGCGAAAGTTACCTCCCGTTGGCCGCCATATTGGAGGTCGACTCAGTGATTTTCCCTCTTTGTCTTACCAAGTTTAAGAAACTATAGCAGAAATATTTGGTGGAAAATCTTTATCAAATAATTTTTTTTAAATAAAAGAGGCTTCCAAAAATTTATATACTTCAGAAAAATAATGATTTCTAATTCAGAATAGCAAATATAAAAATTTTAAATTGGTTGAACAATGAAGGAATATGAGCGTTTGGACCTCCAGTATGGCGACCAACGGGAAGTAACTCTTGGTCAATCGAAAACTATCTATAGTACTCTTGTTCTATCTTTCTAGGTGCCTGGTTTCCCTGATTGGTTCAATATAAAGTATTCCGAGGATCCAGCGATCTACAGTTATAAACTGAAAAATGATCTTGAATCAGGCGATTTAAAAATTCAAGTTTAAAAGACTTTGCATTTGTTTTTTGAAGTTAAATCAGCTGTAAATTTTGTAATTACTTAAAATTGTGTTAAATAAATTTTAATTTACTGTTTTACAAGTGTTATTGTTCATTTTTTAGATAACCGAAAAATTGGCAGAAAACATGAAATGCTACTGAATTTCAAATGCCTATATCTTTTTTGTACATTGACCAATCTGAATAACCTTTACACCATTGAAATCCTTGTAAATTGACCTTTCTTTTGATGTATAACAAGTGTGGTTTCAAAATTATTTTAAAAATTGCCTGTTATTGCTAGATAGTGTAATTTCAAAATTGTTAAAATGATCACAGGGGATATGACCCGGCCTCAATGGGACATCGAGAATTGTAAAAAGGAATATATGGGAAAATATCTTCTTGTCTATGACAAAAATATCTAGATGCAGTCATTTTGTTATGGAAGCATGCAGAGGTAGTGTAGGTTCAGTTTTGCTCAAATGATGACCACGTCGCCCGCGTAGCGCAATGGTTAAATCGTCTGCTCTAGAGTCGCGAAGGAGTTGTTCCTTATGTCGCGGGAGCGAATACCACTGTGGGACATGGAGATAGGTCCTTCGGATTAGACTGAATAAACCAAGGCCCCGTGTGTCGCAGTAGGTGCTGGCACGAAGAAGATCTCTAACTCCTCAATAATGGTTTGCAGCTCTCCACCGGCAAGTGGTGGCGTCTCCATATGAGTGAAAAATTCTCGATTTGGACGTTAATCAACATCAACTACACTAAGATACATAGTTCTGTGTATCGGTTTTTGATTTCGGTGAACGGTGTTGCTGTGGTTACTAAAAATAGAAATTTCTGTGAAAAACATTTAAAATGCTACTCCTCGTACAGTTTTGATCTGATTCCAATATAACTTGGCACACAAGTAGACTACACTAAGATACATAATTCTGTTTATCGGTTTTTGATTTCGATGAACGGTGTTGCCGTGGTTACTAAAAAAAGAAATTTCCGTGAAATAATTGAAAATCAATTCCAAATCGCAGAGTAAGTCTGATTATAGTACACGTATAATTTGGCATGCAAGTACTGTACACTCAGAGATACATGATCATTATTCTGTTTTTAGCTCTACTGGTCAGAGACCAGAAGAGCTTATGCAATAGTAATGCGTCCGGCGTCCGTCTGTCTGTCCGTCTGTCTGTAAACAATTTTTCAAAATGCTACTCCTCCTACAGTTTTGGTCTAATTTCAATATAACTTGGCACACAAGTAGACTACACTAAGATACATAATTCTATTTATTACCGGCCGCCAGGAGGCGGTCGGTTATATGATATGAAAGTTTGAAGTCGCTGTGCGTTTCTGCGAAGTTAAAACAATTTAAATAAAAATATTTAACATTAATATAATAGTAATTTAAAAAGAGCGTCTAAATGTTTAACAAGAACGCACAATAAACATCAGATTAATTTTTGAATAAAGAATGAGGTGTATATTTCATCCAATCCTAATTGAGAAACTTAGACATGTTGGAGGTGCGGAGAAAATTAAGACATGTGTTGGGTATAGTCTAAAGCAAAGACCGCGTTATGTATATTACACAATCTTACTTTCTCTATTTAAACAGGATTTGTTATATGTATTTATTTTAAAATGACGTGTACACATGTACATATATAAAAATTTTCAAAAAATATGGTTAAATGTTAATTCATCAAAAGACCTAGCAGGCTACAGAATATTACAAGATTTTGCCCTTAGCAGACGAGGATAATGCACGTTTTACAATGTGCCAAGAATTTTCCCGCTACAACTCAAAGAAACTGAAAGAGAAGAAATGTAGTGGCGGATCTAGAGGGAGTTTAGTTTTTTCCTCTAAGAGAGAGCAAAGAGCCCTACATATTTGTTGCGCTTTTATTAAATTAAAACTGCACTGCATATCTAGTTGTAGATTACATTAAACTTTAGTTTTAAACTTTTAATAATGTAAATGCCTCTTAATTATACAGGCCCACGGTTTGTTGACGCAGAGGACCAGGGGTACTTTGCTTATATATATACATCATAACATGTAATACTGAACATGCATTATATATTAATTAAGAAAACCATGCGATGTCGTGCACAAGCGTTTAATGTCACGAGGATATATATTAACAGATAAATATAAGATATTTTAAAACAGATACCATTTCGGTCTTTAGTTGCTTCATAAAAGGAACAATTAATTGGTTTGCGGCCGATTTTTGACGCTTGCGTCAATATATGTTTCTTGTCGGTTTTTGATTTCGATGAACGGTGTTGCCGTGGTTACTAAAAATAGAAATTTCTGAGAAATTCTTTCAAAATGCTACTCCTCCTACAGTTTTGGTCTGATTTCAGTATAACTTGGCACACAAGTAGACTACACTAAGATACATAATTCTGTATATCGGTTTTTGATTTCGATGAACGGTGTTGCCGTGGTTACTAAAAATAGAAATTTCTGTGAAATTCTTTCAAAATGCTACTCCTCCTACAGTTTTGCTCTGATTTCAGTATAACTTGGCACACAAGTAGACTACACTAAGATACATAAATCTGTTTATCGGATTTTGATTTCGATGAACGGTGTTGCCTTGGTTACTAAAAATAGAAATATCTGTAAAATTGTTTCAAAATGCTACTCCTCCTACAGTTTTTGGTCTGATTTCAGTATAACTTGGCACACAAGTAGAATACACTAAGATACATAATTCTATATATTGGTTTTTGATTTCGATGAACGGTGTTGCCGTGGTTACTAAAAATAGAAATTTCTGTGAAATTCTTTCAAAATGCTACTCCTCCTACAGTTTTGGTCTGATTTCAGTATAACTTGGCACACAAGTAGAATACACTAAGATACATAAATCTGTATATCGGTTTTTGATTTCGATGAACGGTGTTGCCATGGTTACTAAAAATAGAAATTTCTGTGAAATTCTTTCAAAATGCTACTCCTCCTACAGTTTTGATCGGATTTCAGTATAACTTGGCACACAAGTAGAATACACTAAGATGCATAATTCTGTGTATCGAATTTTAATTTTAATGAACGGTGTTGCTATGGTTACTAAAAATAGATATGACTGTAAAATTGTTTCAAAATGCTACTCCTCCTACAGTTTTGGTTTGATTTCAATATAACTTGGCACACAAGTAGACTACACTAAGAACATAAAGAGACTTTATCAACGATCATTATTCTATTTATTGCTGTTGTAAAATTTCAAATCCCAGCTGCTTAAGTACTTTTCTTTTCCTTTGCTATAAGTTCAAACCAGTAGAGCTTCAGTCTCGACAGAGACTTCTGGTTTGCTGTTGTGAAGTTTCAAGTCGCAACTGCCACTTTTCTGTGTTTAAAGTACAAACCAGTAGAGCTACAGTCTCGACAGAGACTTCTGGTTATTAAAATATGCCATCAGGTTTTCATTAATTCATAGTTATCTTCCCTCGGAAGAGAGCATGGCCCTTCATTTGAACAAACTTGAATCCCCTTCAACAAAGGTTGGTTGGTGGCAGGTTTGGTTGAAATTGGCCCAGTGGTCTTGAGAAGAAGATGAAAATGTGAAAAGTTTACAACAACGACGACAGACAACAGACATATTTTGATCCGAAAGCTCACTTAAGCCTTTGGCTCAGGTGAGCTAAAATGTTTTCTCAAAATGATGAAAAATTAAAGTCCAAGTATGCATAAAATTTATTCATGAAAAATTCCATACAATGAAATTGGAAGAGTTATGCGACCAAGTCCTATAACCTTTCAGCAGCCATTAACGACTTAATGTCCAAGATCAGAATTTTTTTAATAAAAATGTCGTCGTCTTTCATAAAAGAAAATTATATTAACTTTTTAGGTCACCTGAGTAAACTCAGGTGACCTATTGCTATCTGTTTTCGTCCGTCGTCGTTCGTCGTGCGTTAACATTTGAACATTTTCAGCTTCTTCTCTGCAACCACTGAACCAATTTCAACCAAATTTGGCACAAAGCATCTATGGGTAAAGGGGAACAAAATTTGTGAATTTCATGACCCCTGCCCCCCTGGGGCCTGAGGGGTGGGGCCAAAACCACTAAAATTAATGCAATCTTTAAAAATCTTCTTCTTTCCTCCTGGACATCAAGCAGTCAAACTGTTTGCATGATTGTAATCAGCAATGAGTCTTCTACCAAAATTGTGAAATTCATGGCCCTGGGGTCAGGGGTTCTAGTGCTAGGGCGGGGCTAAATAAGTAGGTAGTGAAAATGCATTATTTCTTTGAAAATCTTCTTCTCTGCTCCTGGGTATTAAATAAACCAACTAAGTACATAGTTATGATGAGCAAGAGTGCCTCTACCAAAATTGTGAATTTTATGGCCCCAGGGTCAGGGGTTCTGGTGTTAGGGTGGGGCTCTATTGATTATATAGTGAAAATACATGAATTCTTTGAAAATCTTCTTCTCTGCTCCTGGGTATTAAATAAACTTACTAAGTACATAGTTATGATAAGCAAGAATGCCTCTACCAAAATTGTGAATTTTATGGCCCTAGGGTCAGGGGTTCTTGTTTTAGGGTGGGGCTCTATTGATTTTATAGTGAAATGCATGAATTCTTTGAACATCTTATCCTTTGCTCCTGGTTAATATGCTAATGATCTAATTACATATTTAAGGCCAGGATTTATTTTATTTTCAGTTTTACAAACCCTCCGCTCAAGGTTTTGAATTTTTAGAAAAAAAATTTTTTTTCTTTCCGATGACAAATTTGAGTCGGGATCGAGATTTCAAATTTACGAACTCGCACTTCCGGTTTTACGATGAAACGGCGGGTAAATAAAGCTAGATCTGAGAAGATAGATTGGTTTAGTGTAAAATTCATCGATAAGAGTGCCATTCAAAACGTTTCACCCGTTCAAAGGACAAATAAAATGCTGACGACTTTGTTGCACAATGACAAGCTGGTGAGATAATTATGTATTCGTTTCAAAAGTAACTGTAAATTATTTTCATCCCCCAGGTTTTAAACTGCCCGTGGTAGCTATTGCATATTGCCAGGGACATTGTTTAGGTCTCTGTTATAGCTTACAGTCTAAGCA